ATGCACGCGCGCCGCGCACACCTGCGGGGCAGCTGCGGGATGCGCCGGTATCGCCGCGGGTGTGGGCCCGGGGAGAGAGGGCTGTGAAGGCCGAGGCAAGGGCAGCGGCGTGTGCTGCCAACAGAGCCCAGCCCCTTCTCCCTCCAAGCACGTCTGAGACCAGCTGGCCTGTCAATGGCAGCCCAGGCCCAGATGGGCAGGGCGATCTGAAATGTCAGATTCTGTGGCCACGCGACTGTTAACCTGTGCGCAGTCAGCTCCATGAGGCTGCTCAACTTGTCTCAGTTACAACAGGGAGCAGAGCGGGCAGGTAATTCTAGCAGCTTTAGTATTAAAGCAATACTGAGGTATGCTGTAGAGGCAAGTTAAGTGGCAAAGCCATTAGCAGAATCCCAGATTACACTCGACTGGAATGTAGTCTCTGCCATTTAAATATGTGGGACCATCTTATGTCTTTTGAATGTCAAGTGTTATTTGCATGGGATTGAACTCGTTTAATAATTTCATGAGTTGACATTTGCAGAGGTCATTATCTTAGCCTATTCTTTAAAATTCCCAGATTTAAGGTCAAAATTTCCCTTAGGAATTTCCCTGACACGTTTCCTGGCAGGTGACCTCTGTTCAGCCCACAAGGCCATATGTGTGCACTTACACACTTCAGGGTTCAGCCTTGTAGTACTTTTTCCCTTGGTTGAGTGTTCAAAATGCAGCCATGAAGTCCTGCCCTCTGGGCTGATTCCAACAGTGCCTTGTGACTAAAGAAAGCCCAAGACCACTGCCATGAAGTTACCTATACCAATATTACCATATGAACCCACGGGCCTGAACTAGAAATTTACCCAAGGGGAAAAAAAAAACAAAACACATTTTTATCTGTAAACTTTTACTTGAAATCTGTAGCAGCCTTATATAATGACCTCAACCTGAAGGAAACTAGTCTATTGGCTTTAAAAAAATACCACTTAGTAATAACAAGACAGGAATGAGCAGCATGGATGAATTTCAATAATACTATGCTTCATGAATGTGGCCAGATCAACAAAAATATTACTTACTGTTTTGATCCACTTATGTAACAGACTAAGAAAGATATAATTGCAAGACAGAAAATACACCAGGTGCCAAGGGGCAGGAGAGGGGACTGACTTCAACGGCCAGAAAGAAACTGTTTTGGAGTAATAGAGAAGTTTTATATCATGACTGCAGTGGTCATTAACCAATTGTGTGCATTTGAACACTTTGGTGAATTTCGTTGCATATAAATGAAAACCCAGTGTATCTGATAAAGAGCTGGAATAGCCATATTGGTATCATCTACAGTAGACTTTATAGGAGTGATGTTAATAGGAGGAAGAAAGAAAGAACATTGCAGAACAATAAAACTCATCAACAGTCAATTCCACATGTTTAGTCACCTAGGAACAGAACTCCAAATGGGATGGTGCAAAATGAGTACTGCTAAAAGAAGCAATGGTAAATCCACAATTAACAGCAAAGCTCAGCATGTTCTCGTAATTTACAATTGCTAGGGTAAGTAGACAGCAAACTATTGAGGGTATGCATGACTCAAAATAGCCTCAACTTACTCCAACTATTGTATAATATAAAACACTTTACCCAGCAACAGTGGAATATGTTCTTTCAAATGCACATAGAATACTCTCCAGAATAGATAATATTCTACTATAAAGTTAGGTTGAATACATTCGAAAAATTAGTCATCCAAACTGTGAATTGTGTTTTAACCACAGTGGAGTCAAAGTCATTAACAAAAATCTGAAAGAAAAATCACTAAATTAAACATACCTTCAAAGTACCTGAAGGTCAAACATTTAAAATTATTTTGAACTAAATGGTAATAAAATAAAATAAATACAATATATCAAGGTCTGTAGAAAAGGCACTGACTACAAGAAAATTTATAGTATTAAAATGCTTATATTAGGAATGAAGCTGGACATGATGTAGAGTGAAAGGTCCCAGCTCACTTCCTGGTTTGAAGACCCACCCAAACCCACCAATCCCTGAGCTTGAAATCCCACCAATTCCTGGGCTTACTCCAGGCTCAGGACTTGAAATTCTATCAGTCTCCCTCGTGCACCCCCTTACCCCTGTCTCCTGCTCAGTTCCCTGCTGCTTCTCTCCCAGTAAATTTCTTGTGTGAGGTTTGCTGTGGAGTGTGACTTTGTGATATTTCTTGGCTCCCAACTGCCAGGTTACCCTTCCCCTCAGAGCTGCAACACTTACAAATGGTGGCCTATACCTGTAATCCCCAGATTGAGTCTGGAGGACTGCAACAATCCTTTACTGCCAGCCTAGGCTACATTGTAAATATCAGGCCAGCCAAACCTATGTAGCAAGATTCTGTCTAAAATAAGCAAGCAAAATAAGTAACAAGAAAGAGGGGAAAAGAATGAACTATTAAGCATCAATCTTAAGAAAAAGAAAAAATTGAATTCATGTTGTGCGATGAAACTTTTCCTGGGGAAAAACACACTTGTCTATTCACCGCAGATATAAAACCCATGACATCCCAAAGTACAGATATCACCAAAGTCCAACTTGGTGAACCAATGAGTTTTATTGGGGTTACTGTGGTAGTTTGAATAAGAATGGCTGCCATAGGCTTGAATGCGTAGTTATCAGGGAGTGGCACTATTTGAAAATGACTAGGTGATGTGGCCTTGTTGGAGGATGTGTGTGTGTGTGTGTGTGTGTGTGTGTGTGTGTGTGTGTGTCAATGGGCGTGGGCTTCCAGGTTCCAAAAGCCCATGTCCAATGTCTCTCTGTCTCTATCTCTCTTCTATCACCAGGTTGTAGTTCTCAGTTACTGCTCCAGACCTGAATGCATGCCACCTTGTTTCCTTCTATGATGATAATGTGCTAACCTCTGAAACTGTAAGCAAGCCCCCAATTAAATGCTTTCAAATAGTTGCCTTCGTCATGGTGTCTCTTCACAGCAATAGAACAGTGGCTGAAATAGTTACTTACAGGAATATGGGTGAGCAGTTACTTACAGGAGCAGAAATGACTCAAATAAAACTGCACCACGAAGGCTCACCCTAACATGGTGACAATTCACGAGAGCTGGGAAACCTGGAGCACACTGCACAGTCTGCAGGCAGTCCACAGGTTGGAGAGTGTCCTTTCCAGGTGTCTCAGTTGATCTGGCTGGTATATGTTTCTTCCAGGCAATGGGTCTGGTCTCAGAGTCTTCTTTGCAGCTTAGCTTTACTTCCTCCGAGAGGAGGGACTCTAAGAGTCTAGCAGGGCAGGACCTAGTGAATCTGGTCAGTTTCAGGGAGTTTTTGATGCTATTTTGTTGTTGTTGTTGTTGTTTACCTCCCAGCTTAAGGCACTTCCCGGCAGGATGGATATTAAACTGCAGTTCAACATAGCAGGAAGAAGCAAATAATAGGTTAAAAAAACAAAATTAGCTGTGTCTTTGAAAAACAAATCAATGCTGGGAGAAGAGAGAAAAAGAAGAGGGGAGGGACGAGCTAGCTTCTACTGTTAGGAATTGTAGATCTTGTCTCCGAATTGAATTGAAGCTTTCCCTCCTAGAGGAAGTGCGAGGCTATGTAAGACTTGGGAAATAAAAAAAAAAAAAAAAAGTTCTAACTTTCTAGAAGTAAACACTTCTTGCAAGGCTCAGGACATATCTGAAACTTGCAAGATGCCGGAGGTCCCTTCCCCAAGGTTATCTAAACAGGAACAATTGCTGGCAAGGCTCGGAACAAGTGGTGCAGGGAGTGTTAGTGATGCATCTTCTGTGAGTGGTGGCTCATGCTGGGATGGGCTTTTCATTGATGCAACTGCCTTGAATTACTCCTAAAAGTAGCCATCAGCAACACTCCTCTAGGTAATCCCAATGAACCCACTGGTCCAGGACTTCAGTGACTTCAGACTTTGCTT